AACAGACTACACAGCAGGACAGACTACACTGCAGGACAGACTACACAGCAGGACAGACTACACAGCAGAACAGACTACACAGCAGGACAGTCTACACTGCAGGACAGACTACACAGTAGAACAGACTACACAGCAGGACAGCCTACACAACAGAACAGACTACACAGCAGGACAGACTACACAGCAGGACAGACTACACAGCAGGACAGTCTACACTGCAGGACAGACTACACAGCAGAACAGACTACACAGCAGAACAGGCTACACAGCAGGACAGCCTACACAACAGAACAGGCTACACAGCAGGACAGACTACACACCAGGACAGACTACACAGCACTACAGTCTACACAGCAGGACAGACTACACAGCAAAACAGACTACACAGCAGGACAGACTACACAGCAGGACAGACTACACAGCAGAACTGACTACACAGCAGGACAGACTACACAGCTGGGTAGACGGCACAGCAGAACAGACAACAAAGCAGGACAGACTACTCAGCCGGGCACACGTAGGAGCAGGGCAGACTACACAGCAGGACAGACGGTACAGCAGGACAGACTACTAAGCAGGGCAGACGGCCGAGCAGGGCAGACTACACAGCAGGACAGACGGCACAGCAGGACAGACTACACAGCAGGACAGACGGCAGAGCAGGACAGACTACACAGCAGGACACACTACACAGCAGGACAGACTACACAGCAGGATAAACTGCACAGCAGGACAGACGGCACAGCATGACAGACTACACAGCAGGACAGACTACACAGCAGGACAGACTACACTGCAGGACAGACTACACAGCAGGACAGACTACACAGCTGACAGACTATACAGCAGGACAGATTACACAGCAAGACAGACTACACAGCAGGACAGGCAGTACCGCAGGACAGACTACACAGCAGAGCAGACTAAACAGAAGGAGAGACGGCACAGAAGGACAGACTACACAGCACGAGCGGCAAAACAGCAGGGCAGACTACACTGCAGGACAGACTACACTGCAGGACAAACGACACAGCAGGACAGACTACACAGCAGGACAGACTACACAGCAGGACAGGCTACACAGCAGGAAAGACGAGACTACACAGCAGGGCAGACTACACTGCAGAACAGACTACACAGCAGGGCAGACTACACAGCAGGGCAGACAGCACAGCAGGACAGACTACACAGCAGGACAAACTACACAGCAGGACAGACTACACAGCAGGACAGACTACATAGCAGAGCAGACTACACTGCAGGACAGACTACACAGCAGGACAGACTACACAGTACGACAGACTACACAGCAGGACAGACTACACAGCAGGACAGACTACACAGCAGGACAGACTACACAGCAGGACAGACTACACAGCAGGACAGACTACACAGCAGGACAGACTACACAGCAGAACAGACTACACAGCAGGACAGACTACACAGCAGGACAGACTACACAGCAGGACAGACTACACAGCAGGACAGACTACACTGCAGGACAGACTACACAGCAGGACAGACTACACAGCAGGACAGACTACACAGCAGGACAGACTACACAGCAGGACAGACTACACAGCAGGACAGACTACACAGCAGGACAGACTACACAGCAGGGCAGACTACACAGCAGGACAGACTACACAGCAGGACAGACTACACAACAGGACACTGCTACACACTAGCAGGACAGACTGCACAGCAGGACAGTCTACACAGCAGGACAGACTACACAGCAGGGACAGACTACACAGCAGGACAGACTACACAGCAGGGCAAACTACACTGCAGGACAGACTACACAGGAGGAAAGACTACACAGTAGGACAGACTACACAGCAGGACAGACTACACAGCAGGACAGACTACACAGCAGGACAGACTACACAGCAGGACAGACTACACAGCAGAACAGACTACACAGCAGGACAGACTACACAGCAGAACAGACTACACAGCAGGACAGACTACACAGCAGGACAGACTACACAGCAGAACAGACTACACAGCAGGACAGACTACACAGCAGGACAGACTACACAGCAGGACAGACTACACAGCAGGACAGACTACACAGCAGGACCGACTACACAGCAGGACAGACTACACAGCAGGACAGACTACACAGCAGGACCGACTACACAGCAGGACAGACTACACAGCAGAACAGACTACACAGCAGGACAGACTACACAGCAGGACAGACTACACAGCAGGACAGACTACACAGCAGACCAGACTACACAGCAGGACAGACTACACAGCTGGGTAGACGGCACAGCAGAACAGACAACAAAGCAGCACAGACTACTCAGCCGGGCACACGTAGGAGCAGGGCAGACTACACAGCAGGACAGACGGTACAGCAGGACAGACTACTAAGCAGGGCAGACAGCAGAGCAGGGCTGACTACACAGCAGGACAGACGGCACAGCAGGACAGACTACACAACAGGACAGACGGCAGAGCAGGACAGACTACACAGCAGGACAGACTACACAGCAGGACAGACTACACAGCAGGACAAACTGCACAGCGGGACAGACTACACAGCAGGTAAGACTACACA